AGTGTTACTTTCATTGTAAAGAATCCTCCACATGCCCCCCCCCCCCCCTTTTTTCTACTAGAACTTGTTTTTTTTGTTTTTTTCCTACAGTTAAATTTGTGCATCTGATATTTAACCTTAACGTGTTTTGGAAGTAAAGGTTAAAACTCCTTCATGGAGTTTGAAAAGCACATTTTGGCCACGATGACCGGCGTATCATTTTGTTGTTTGATTTCATGTAAACTTATTTGGAAACACCCCCCACACACACAAATGTGCTTTCTTATGTCTTTTTATGAAGACAACCCTTCAGATCAAGTTTTATTACAAATAATTTGATATTTTCCCACAAAAGTTAAAACATTCCACAGTACAACAAAAAATAAACTGCAGATATTTAGCATCAAGTTAATTTTTTTTTATTTTATGTTTGAAAACCATGTCAATGTGCCACACTGATTTATTTTACTATTTCTTTTATTTAATTTATGTATGCCTCTTTATTAAGCTTACTCTGTATGGTGATTTTCAGACTGGTGCTGTTCATTTCAGGAGGAACACCAGAGTTGTTTTTTTTTTTGTTTTTGTTTTTCATTCTACTCTACTTTTTATTTTTTAATGGTTTTTAAAAGTTCAAAGAATGTTTTGTATGAGGTGAGAGAAGCAAAGCTTGTTTAGGTGAGCTGGAGCGTTCATGTCCGGCAAAGGTTTTTTTTTTTTTTTTTTTTCCATTTTAATTGTAAGAGTTGACAATAATTTTTTATTTTAATTAAGTTAAGCTCATTCTGTAACCAACAGGTGGTGGACTGGTGATGAGATCTCAGTGCTATAGCCATTTCACCAAAGAGGGTTCTCGATCCATCACGGTAGCTTTGAGAAGTGTGAAACTTTGTCCACGTCCTGTTGCTCGCACTGCAGCGACGGTACTCTGGGAATGGTGTCGAATGGACCCGTTATGCTAATAGGACACTGAAAATGTTCTAAAACACCTGCAGACTCATCATCCTGGGGTTTTATGTCTTATAGTAAGACTTACTTGAAGTTGTATATGCAGCTGACTTTTCTCCAGTTTTGGAAACTTTACTATCGTTCTTGTAGCATTAAGTTGACGATCAAGGCAATTGTGGGCGTTTTGAAGATCCCTACAGTTCAGTATTCTGCCTTTTTCTTTTTTTTTTCCTCCCTTTTGAGCTTCAATAAGTTTGATAGGGTCATGGACTCTAAGCGCACATTCTTTGACCATACTCTTAATACCTGGACAGGTATATACGAGGTTTCTTGGTCATTACCATTTCTACTGTCTTTCATACGGCAAGTTTTCTTTTGGAGTGCCGTTTCCTCGGAAAGTAGGGGCAAAATAATACATTTCACTTGATTTGTATAGTATATCCGTTTGACGTGAAGAAACGTTAAACTGATCGTTCAATTGAATGTAGCCCACAGACCAGGCGTCAAACCCAGCAACGATCAAATGTTCAATTTAAAAAAAACAACAAAAAAAGCTGCTCTCTTTTTTGTATTCCTTCATTTTGACACTGAAAAGCCCCACTCCCAAAACTTTAGGGGAAGAAATTTAAATTTACAAGTCATTTTTTAAGTACAAAAACAAACTTTGATTTAAAATAAGCACTTTACTGTACCATGTGAATGATTGCAGTTCACTCGAGGCAACTTTTCACAGTTGCTCCAGAATTTTGTATATTTGTTTTCTAAAAATAAAAAAAAAATGCTTTGAACTACTGTCTGGTTTCTGGGACTTTTTTGTTTGAAATATTTTATTTCGAGTTTAACAGTTCCTGTGTGATAAAAGCTTTTGAAGTGTTTTACATTAACCAGCGCTCTTATCTTTTGGGCCGAGGCCGTTTCATCTGATTCTGGGGGAAATCTATCGTCTGGTCACGTGTGTCCTTGGCTGTTGGTAAACATGAGCTCACCCGTCTCCGCCCGCTGTAATGTGACTGGTTTCACCTTGCACACAAGTCACACTTCTCAGAAATAAGGGCCCCCATCCGAGGACTGATGCAACCTGCTGCAAGAGCTGCAGCTCCTGTATGCCCAACACATGGCCTCCCTGGAGGTCCAAAATGCCTTCTGCTGAGCTGAACACATTCCAGTTTGTTGTTTCGACATCTTTTTAGGGCGAGTGAGGTGTAAACTCATCACTGAATGCTGATTCATCAGGAAAAAGTGGAGAAAAATTAGGCTAATATCTTAAACAGCAGATTATTGGATCAGTTCTGCCGCTTTCAAACCAATAAACCCATAGGAACTACTAAAAAACATTGTGCCTCTGTCAGGGATCATCTAAATTTGACATAAAAATTGTATATTTTACCCATAAAATGTGTTTATTGTCCCTTTACACTGAGACATATGGACAAGCCTTTTTGTTGCATAACTCCTAATTCAGCACAACAAACATCACCAGAGGAATAAAATGATGCAACAGCAACGTGTTTTTTGTCCAAACTTGTGATTAGAACAGTGAACAGGTGTTTGTCTCCCCCTGATGGACACTGTGGAGCCATGTTGGACAAATAAGAATGAAGCATATTCTATTTACAACTTACCTTCCACTTCTCATGTATAGTAACACATTAAGCATCACTTTACCTGACTAGTGTGTGCATGTTATATTTTAGTAGAACATCACTTTAACGGTGACATAATTATCTCATATATTGGCTGTTTAATGGACTTACCCCATCTTAACGTCTGTTAATCATCTGAAACTGGTTTTCTGTTGGTAAACCATAGCCAGAAGGTAAAAAAAAGGTGTCCTTTTCAGACAGAAAGCACATGTTTAGAGACTGATCATCTGATTATTGATTATTTTCAACAATCTTTTTTTTTGCTTTCTGTTTGCAAGATGCACCTCATGACTTCTGTTAAAACCTTTCAAAACAAAAGCTCGTGCTGTTTTACTCTACAATTTTTCTAATAATTGACTATTTTCTCAATAATGGCCAACTTTGGATACAGAAGTAACTAAAAAGTGTCACAACTGTCCGTATTTGTATTTTTTTATTTCAAATTTTTGTAAAAGGCTTTTATTTGAGCTGAAAAACAAAAGATACATGAGGAGCCTCTTTTGACAGTAAATAGGCAGCTAATATCAGTAGACTCAAGCAGATCAACCTTGTTCATTTGTGAAATAAAATCACTCCCTAAGAAACATTTCCTTTATTAATAACCTTAACTGGAAAAGGATTTGGACTTTACCAATCAGATGCATGATAAATAATAAAGTAAGAGAAGTATCGTTCAAAATTATTCATAGATTTTACCCATCCAAAGTTTATTAACAACGGTTTAACAAGGATATAAATATAATTTGCTCTTTTTGTGATGAAAACCCAGAAGATGTCTTTCATTTATTTTGGTCTTGCCCCTTCTCGACTCAATTTTGAAAAAGTATTTGTATTTTGATTTCTACTTTTATAGAACCAGATCTTTTACTTTGCTTTGAACATGTTTTGTTTGGCTTCACTGACTACCCAACAGCTAAAGAAAAACAGTTCTATATTATTAATCTCATTATATACCTAGCCAAATGGCATATTCATAAATGTCGATACACTCTTATCTCCATTTTTGAAAATGAGGTCAAACAATACATCAAAACTATTAAATATTCAACCAACACGAAGGCCATAAAAACTTGTACCTTATGTGTTCTCTTCAATATATTTATGTAATATGTTATTGTAAATTATTGTCTCAGTGTTTGTAACCCCCTGGCGTCTGTTATATCATTACTGTTTACTGCATTTTATTGTATTGTTTTGTACTTTTTCAATAAAGATAAAAAATTAACAAAAATAAACATTTCTTCTTTCTTGTGTTGGCAAACAACATTTATTGTGCATCACTGCCCCCTACTGATGTGGAGAGTGAGTGCAAATATATTTTGTTATCTTGTTTACTGTACCATATGAATATGTTGTCTGTTAACCATTTTTGTTTTCATTAACAACGTAATTAAAATTTGAATACTTTTACTTCCTGACTCTTTTTGTAGTGTGTTTGATACACTAAATGTCTATTTTATCTTTCTAAAATCCTCCATCATTCATCCTCTCTCATTTATCTGGCATACTAAACTCACACACGCTATTGTTTCCCTCTCGCCACAATGTTGACAACTTCCTGTTTCATGTTTGTGTATTCTGAGTCCAGTGTGTCCAAATCTCATTCTTTTTAATAATTTCTAGGAATGCACAATATTATCAGCATGGTATCAGTATTGGCCGATATTAGCGATAAAGTTAAATATCTGACATCGTCCCTTCCATCAAAGTAACTCACTGATATAAAAGGCTTCTGTTTTAATTTTTTTTTTTTTATTTAAGAAAGTGTCAAGTATATCTATTAATGCACTACTACTTATGTGCTTTTCACTTGTCGCTTGTGAACAGGCTGAGGTTAGATTTGTGAAAATTGACAAATTTGCAGTGTTCGAGTGTCGTCATTGTGTTAGAGTAAATATCATGAATAAATTTGACACTAAACATAAACCAAGTTGAAGTGTTATTTCATTTTCAGTCCCTTTTTTGGCTTCTGCATTTTGGTAGCAGACCAAATTGACAAAGACCATGCAGAATAATGTAGTATTCCATATTCAATAGTATTCCACAGCAGAGAAAGCTATGTAGCCTCTGTAAGTAGGTCTTGGGAAAAAAATATTGGTATTGATATCGGTTATCGGCCAATTAAGTTTTAACATATCGGCATATCGGATATCAGCCAAAAATCTAATATTGTGCATTCCTAATAATTTCACTTCTCTTCTGTCTTCTGTTCATGTGGCATGGAGGCTGCACAGCTGCAGAAAAGAAAAGCTTTGCAGAGAGTGGTGAAGGCTGCACAGAAGACCGATTGAGTCAGCCTCCCCACCATCACAGACATCTACAAATCCAGATGCAGGAAGAGGGCCACCTGCATCGTGAAAGACCCCACTCACCCAGCACACACACTTTTTGCCCCGCTCCCCTCAGGCAGGAGGTTGCAGCGCAATAAGTGTACAGCCACTAGACTGAGGAACAGCTTCTACCCTGAGGCTGTTAGACTCCATCCATTCGTTATCTTTTACCCGTTTCTTCCATTTTGGGTCATGGTGGTTGCTGGTGTCCATGTCCAGCAGTCACTGTGCGAGGGGCGGGGTACACTCTGGACAGGTCATGAGTCCATCACAGGGCCACATAGAGACAAACGAGACAAACAACCATTCACTCTCTCGCTCACACTCAGGGACAATTTTAGAGTTATCAGTCAGTCTAACATGCATGTTTTTGGTCTGTGGGACGAAACCAGTGTACCCGAAGAAAACCCACGCATGCACAGACAGAACATGCAAAGTCCACCCAGTAAGTCCCCCCGGACCAGGATTTGAACTAACAACCTTCTCACTGAGAAGCAGCAGCTCTACCAGTTGCACTGTTAGACTCATAAATCCTTAATCAGAATTATCACTGTGGGAAAAAAAAATACATCACTGTAATGCCACTTTGATTGTTGATATGTGCTGCTGATTATCCATGCTGCTGATCTCATGCTGGTGATTTATTTCATGTTGCTGTATTCATACTCATCTACTCACACAGACTCATGTTCGGGCTGCTGTTGTTCGGCGCATTGTTTTATACTATTAGTGTTTAGCGTATGTCTTAGATCCTTAGTACTGTTTCTTTTACAATTTATATTTTTGCTAGTGTTGGATGTAACTGGGAACCTGTGTACATAATTTCATTCCACCTCATGTACCACACGCGGTGCGAATGAACCTTGAACTTTATCCTTCCCGCTCTCATTTCCCTCACTCTTCTTTGAAACTTAAAACACCATCGTCCTTTTGTTTTCTTCATTCCAGTCTTTCTGCTATTTTTCCTTCAGTTTTTGTTCAATGATTCATTCAACCTTTATTTATACAGGTTAGTCTCATTGAGCCTCGATGACTCATTGATGCTTCGTGCTTTAGATTTGCTTGTGTTTTTTTTTTGTTTTGTTTCATCTGAAATTCTGATTTAATGTTGCAATGCCTGTTTTCCCTGTTGGGACTTTGGATGCATCTGTGTAAATCAGAACATTTTATTTTTATTTTATTATAATAAACGTTGGACTTATTGTTACTTAAATGCTTACTTTCTACCTTTTCATGAATCACCCACCCAAATCTTTTTGTTTCCCTCCGTACGTTTTCCCAAAATGGCTTTAAAATGTCACATGTTGGATGGTCCAGGTTATCTCCTTGTAAGTTGATCCTTGCTAGATGTGTTCTTAATTCTAAAGACATTTCTCCCATCTCCACTTTAAGTGCTGCTTTAGAGGTGGTTCTGGTCCAGATTCTTAGTGCTTGGTGTTGTATAATGTCAAGTTCTAAAAAAAACATTGATCAATAGGCACTTCTTGTTAAAATAATAGAAAACACCTGAGAAGTTGCCATTTGTGACGTCACTAATTACCTGCCCTGCACACCTGAGACAAAACAAACCGCATGTTTGAGAAATGCATAAAAAGCCTGAGCAGCTCCTGTTTGGACTTTGCCAGTGGAGCTACAGTTGGTGTGTAGGTATCGTTTGATGTTAAACTGTGGCTCAGCTGAATGTCTAGTTTTTTTATTGTATTGAGTAAAATTGAGCCAGATTTGTTAGCCGTTTAAAATTTTAGATTTTAAACTTGTGCATAAATTTGTTAACCTCCAGTTTCTTGCACCATTTGTTAGTACTGGTAAGTGGAAGGGTTGTCTCTTGTAGTGTAAACTTCTGTAAAATTAACTTGGATTTGCACGTCAGTCTCTTTTTGTTGATGTTTGTAATTCTATGAGCTTATAGAAAATTAAACTGGCCAGTTGTAATAACTTTGGTAATAACTTTGATTTGACATTTTACTTAAACTTTCACTTGCTGCTTAAATTAAAATTTGGTTGAAGGAAGTTTTTAATGTTGTATCAAACAAGGATTGAATTCGAGGAGCCTTGGATTTAAACTCTGAATTTAATCGCCATCTCTTAATGTAAATTTCACTACTTTTTTGGAGTTTGCTTTTTTTGTGTTTCAGGATTCTGCAGGGATCTGAGGGCGACAGTGGACCTGCACTTGATTTGCATTGGAGAACCCATCTCACCCCCAATTACAGAAATTCAGTGATTAAAATAAACCGTCTTTAAATTTACTTTTAACCAAACATTATGTATAAAGGTAAATTGGCCTTTTAAAGCTGGAGTTCCATTGGTGACGACACTCTTCTACTTCATTCTGCTTTGAAGACGTCTTCATATTAAACTTGAGATTTTGTGACACTGCACGATGGCCAACGTTAAAGCTCTGAAACTTGCATGAAGAGGCTCTTTCAAAGGCTCAACATTTTCTGCTCCCCTTCATAATTTGAACAAGTTCCTGATAAATTTCTCCAAATGGAGCATCAATTGATGGCTTTTATTACTGTTGCTTCAAATAAGCAAATAATAATAATAAAATTGTTTTTTTTTTAATTGAAAAGTTTGTTTAAACGTCTTGTGTACAAAGTTGTAATGTTAATAGATGTGCTCCCCTAGCATTGAAAGTTGCCATTTATACAGTTTCATCATGTTAAAAAAAATCAGTAACTCATTTTGCAGGGCAGGAGATGAATGGTTAGTTACTAACCCAAATAAGCTTTTGACTTTGTCTGTGGCACATTATCACACCTTGGGTGTCAGAGCTACAATCATAAGTGTCTATTTTTTTTTTTTTGTTTTGTTTAATCTTTCCAGTTGACTGTGCTCAGGACAACCAATCTGTTTTTGTTCAATAAAAGCAATTCAAAACTATAAGCCAAAAGGCATCTTCTCCCAAAAGTTTAGTAAATTACTAAAAATAACGGATAAAATGCCAAACTCAAGTTAAAACATTAAAAACCACAAGTGTTATGCTCTTGATGTAATTAATTGAATTTCATTAGCCACGTCTCAATTGGCCAACCGATCGCGAGACTACAAGATCTCGCGAGACTTCCGCTGTTCTCGTTCTGTCCAACATGTCGCCTTAGAGTCGCTGTTATTGTTCATCGCTCCTTCCAGAGTTTTCAGCTCGTTTAATGAAACCGAAGCTGAGCCAGAAGCCGGAGCGGGAATGAGAGGAAGAGCCGGAGATAATGTTGAGGTCCACTGGCTTCTTCCGAGGGCTTGACTGTCCGTTTTTCTCGGACGAAATCGGCTGCAATCGACCGTACTGTCACTTCAGGCACAGCCAGCAACGACGCTCGTCTTACGGAGCTCCGGTAGACGCGAAGAGGCAGAAAGACGTCCAGTTCGAGCAGAAAGGTGCTCCCATTTTTCCTTAAATATACCAAATTCACTCGATTAGTGTCGCTTCTGTGCCAGCGGAGTCCAAACCGTGCTGTTAGCTGTGAATCCAAGCCGGTTTCATGTGATGCTCGTGCAGCTAACGAGCTTAATTGATCTAAAATTGGAACATTAAATTATTTTACAGCACAACAAATCAATGGTTTACAATGACGACACTGAAACTGAGAGCGTCTGAATTCGACTTTTTAACCTTAAAGTTTTGTCATTGCAACAGTTTCTTGTTCTAACAATGTTTTTTTTTTAAATTGGAAATATTAAATTCTCAGCTGATTTTATTCTAAGCCCATTCTTTACATTTAAAATTATTTTTTAAAAAGTGCACTTTACAGTTCATAAACTAGTGCAGCCCTTTTTTTTGTACACATTCTTTACATTTTTAAAAAAAACTAAATGTACATCCAAATAAAGTGGGATAGTCTCCAAACATTTAGCATTTTAAGCTTAAACGAATTAGATAAGCATATCTAGCTCTGAGTCTTTAAAAACTGAGGACTTGGTAGGTTCACTGTTCACTCACTTTTCAAAAATGGTAATAAATTAGATCTGATTACCTTTAGGTTGAGAACGTTCGCACATTTATTTTGAAAAGCCCCACAGAAAGCTAAAACTACATTTCCTGTTTTGTTTCAGAACAAGGATACGATCCCTTCAACCCAGAAGTTGTGACATCACAGGAGCAGCAGAATGGAGATTTCAGCGGCGCGTTGGAGCTCGTCAACAAGGCCATCGAGGAAGTCCGCAGCCAGGTGGAGAGAGAGAAGAGGAAACTCTCTCGCATCGGGGATGAACCATACAATCCCACCGAGAGCGCCAGTTTGTCGTCATCTAATGTTGCTAAAAGTAGAGCAGCAGGTTTGCACTTGGCTTACGATCCTGGGAGTTATCAGATCACATCAGGAGGATATAATCTCACTCCTGGGTGCAGCAAGTACACCTTGGATTCAGACATTCAGGGCCACAACAGCAACTCAATGGAATACGTTCCTACTTCCCTGAAAAGGTCTTTAACTCAGACACAGGTAATGCAACCTCCCTCTCCTCCGCCCAGCCCAAAATATTCAAAAAACACATCCTTCAAATACACTGTAGATAAATCTAGACCCTCTACAGACATGGAGTATGACCCGCTGTCCAACTACTCAGCTGGAATCACAGCGAAGAGCAAGAAGGATGAGGGTGCCTCCATTAAAACGGATTATAGCAAAGCATGCACAGCATCTGGGACTGTTTTGTCGAATAAGGGTTGCGTTTCAGCTTTAAAAAAGCCTCTGCCGCCTAGTCTAGACACAAAGAAGTACACCATCTCTGACTCTGATGGGGAGAGTTCTGGGACAGAGTATCGACCAACGTCGCTAAGCAATCTCCAACAAAAAAAAGCAAATGGATCAGCGAAGGAGGCTTTTAGGAAAGACATGACAGAACGTTTGCAATGTGCATTAACGAAAAAGATAAAAGAGGACTCGGGCATTCAGGAAATTGTTAAACATAAGGACTTCTCTGACAAAAGGAAGGCGGCAGATCCAACTAGTCACGGGAAAAGCAGCAAATCTGAGACTGTGCATAAACCTGAGAAGGAAACTGGCAAATCATCTGGTCAAAAGAGCGCCAGTATTAGTAAAGACAAAGGACCGATAAAAAACTCAAACCAAGTCTGTGTGAAAAAAGAGAACAAGAGTCATGGCAAGATAGAGAATAGTAAAAACACAACAAAGGTTAAGGCATCAGATAAAGTCCAGAGGGAAAGCAGAGATGAAAAGAGAAGTGAAGCCAAGCTCAAGACTTTGGAAAAAACTAAAATGGACTCCAGCAAACAAGATAAAGATGCACCAGAAAGCAAAAAACTCAAAACATCAGACAGAGGAAAAGAGCACAGCAAGCATAAGGACCGCCAACACAAAAATGGCAAACTTGACCGTAAACGAGAAAAAGATGTAAAGAAAATGAGCAAACCCAGTTGTAGCAGCAGTAAAGTCAGTTCAGCAAACACCAAAGATAAAGCAAAGCAAAACACCAGCTCTTCACACGAAAAGAAGCTTGGGAATAAAAAGCAGAGTCTGAGTTTGAGCCACGCAGATCTGTTTGGAGACGAGAGCCCAGATGAGGCTGAGCCGATTGTGATGGACGACGACGACGACGATGATGTAGAAGAGGTCCTGGTGAGGAAATCAGCCGATGCAGTAAAGAGGGGATGTCTGAACAAAAGGAAGGCTGTGGAACGCTCCCCATCTTCCTCCGAGGATGACCTCAGTATGGAGTGCAGCAAGACGAGTTGGGAGAGGGCCGATGGTGCTGAAATGGACTTTTCCAGGTTCCAGGATGACCTGGACTTTGACTCAGATCCCATGGAGGAGTGTCTGAGGATCTTCAATGAATCCAAACATGTGAAGAAGGAAGACAAAGGAAGGCAAGCAAAGCAGGTACTGGTACTTCTCTCCTCCAAGTATCTCTCCATTTATCAGATAAGAGTTTTCTAATGTTGTTTAAATTTAAACGGTAAAGTTACATTTTGCACTTTCAGCCATCAAGAGATTCAGAGGAGGAGAAAATAACAGACAGCACTTTAACCACTCTCTTTCCTGGTCAGAAGAAGAGAGTGTCCCATTTTGTTGCCAAAGGAAATGTAAGTTTCTCTCCTTAAATGTCTTTATTTCTCAGACTCGATCATATACAGAAGCCGTTACCAAGTTTGGGTTCATGGAACATCACCTCAGGGTCCTCAAATAAACAAATTATCAGGAAAAATTATGGCTAAAGGTATATTTTCACCACAATTGGTACTAATAAGTACAGTAGTATCAAATCAGTCTTATCATTATGCCCTCGTTTACTAAGAATATTACCACACTTGTACACTTAAACTAGCAATATTTGGGGTCACAAGCCTCTGCCACTTATTTTGTGGGTCTGAAGCTGAAAATATTTAAAACCTCTGATAGAGTACTGTGTAAACATTTAAATTTAAATAGACTTTACATTAAAGGAGCCAAACTTTTAATCTTTTTTTTAATTAATTTTTAATTTTTTTTATAACATTCGTAATCCAAGTTTTTTAAAAAATCTTTAAAAAAAAATCTTCTTTGGACTTTGGCTCTTTTTTTTTTTTTTCTCACTTTTTTTGTCCGGCCCTCGTACGTGACCCCGGCAGCATACTGTGCTTAAAAATGAGGAAAATGAACAAGTGGAGGGCAAAAGAACTGTCTACATCAGATGAACAGTATGGATTTGGGAAAAATTAAAAATAAATAAACAATCCAGCAACGTCATCTCTCTGTTCATCATCCACTGTATGTCAAGTTCTTAACTATCCAACATGGATTATTGTCTCTGTTTCCAGTGAGCAGAGAGGAAAATCCCTCAGCGTCAATATCAAAACATGCTTCGACACTTTTGTGATTTAGTACAGGTGGGGATTTATACCAAACAAGGAAGTTAAAAACACACACACACAAAAAAACAAAACAAGACATGATAATGAAATTACTTCCTCTGTGGTTTTCCAGCTCCATGCTTAAATGGAAAGCTGAAAGTCTGAAGAGATATTTCTCATCTGATCAGCTGCCTTTAATTTGTGACAAACGTAAATCATTTATTTAAATATTTTGTGGAAGAAGCATTCTGTTGGTTTTATACAAGGCTAAAGCCCTATTCTCACGGGATTAGTTTCAGCTAGGGGCCACATGTAATAAATAAATTACTCCCCGACGTCTGCTTTTTATGTGGCACATTCGCACGGGATAACCAAAGCCTGAGATTTAGCTGAAGTTTATGGACATCTTCCGGATATGATGTTAACACGCTGCATATTGCGTAGCATCTGCTTGTGTCTTCTCTTCAGCCTTTTATTTTTTTGGGGACCGTTATGGGTCGATAGGCTTTTGCTGGTCCGGGACACAAAAGGTTATTTATGCACTCCAATGCAGCCAAAAGCAAATAAAAGTGCACCCAGGAAACAAAAACCACCTAATTACTCCTCAGATCCGGCCCATTTCTGCCAAACAACAGATTAGTATTATCACAGGACGTCAGAGTTCAGCAAAATATAATAGGTAATTTGCAGGGGAATTTTTACTTTACAAATTATTGACATGGCCAATTCACACAGGATTAACAACACAGACAATCTCCGTAATTATTACAAATAGCATGTGGTCCCTAGGTAAAGCTAATCCCGTGTGAATAGGGCTTTAGTAGTTTTAGGCTTGATTTACTAGTATTTAGTGTAATATTTGTAAATTGTTTAAATGAGTACAGTGATTTTTATAATGTAGTATGACAATATATGAGATATATATGCATACAATATTCACGAGTTCCTCATCTTTCTGACTGTGTAATGTCGTGCATTGAGTTTAACAGAAATGTAACGAGAGACGTTATTTATCTTTGACCCATCAAAGTGAATGCGGCCATTTATTTTCAGAATCAAAGTTTAACATCAAACATTTACATTAATTTGGCAAAATATGAAAATAATAACAGACAAGTTTCACAGAAAAGGGACATCGATCACTCGGCGGTGAACGAGGACTTTGCTTCAGATATTTCTAAAATATCTGTACTGATTTTATGAGAAAGAGGAGAGTTTTAAGATGAAATGGAGTTATCTTACAGAGAGATATGTGAGGGAATTAATCTGTTTGACCAGAACGTGCACGCTTCATCAGATCTCAGCTTGCCTCCGGTACACTTTAATCGAAGAGGAGACTGTTACCTGGTTGACGTAAATCAGCTCGATAGAGAATCCTCCAGACTTTTCAGCGTCTCCGTTGAGAGCAGCTGAAATCCTTAGATAGTCGTGTGTGGTTTGTTCAAACAGAAGTTATAATCCCAAAACGTCTCTGGATCATCCTGAACGCGTTTGCACCCAAGAACTCTGAACTCCTTTCATTCTTCAGAACTTCTCAGACTCTAACAGAATCTTTCAACTCCAGCAACTCTGTAGTTCTTCATCTCCTCAGGCTCTCCAGCTTCTGGAATTCTCTGGAATTCTCCGGAATTCTCTTGAATTCTAACATGAACTGGGAAGTTGCCACATTTTAAATGGGTCGACTTCCGGTTCATTTGAGAGCTTTTGATTGGTCGATGGACCAGGAATAGAGGTGTGGTTTATGATGTAAGATGTTATTAAAAATCAAGGATTGTTTAGTAACGAACAGAAAGATTATTGTAGGACTTCAGACTTCGTGGAGTCTCACACTTGGTAATCTTCTGAAAAAGTTTAAACATGACATCTTTCTCGGTAAACATTTTAGTTGACCGAAAACCGACCTTTAACACACTTACATTGCTTGGCTCATTTCAGACAGAAAATCAAGAAATGCATATTAACCTGATTTCTTCTTTGAATGAGGAATAAAAATCATTACTTACTGTTTATGTAAAATAAAAATGAGTAGTTCTTTTCAACCTGTAACATTGGGTGAACTAACACAATTTTGATTATCAAACATTTTGTAAAACAGTGATGATCATAGAGAATTGTCTTTTCTGCTTGATTAATTCAAGAAAGAAAGTCATCAGATGGCTCAGACTGTATTCAGATCAATGAAATAACAGTCCCTGTCCATCTGATAGATTTGGGGTCATCAGGGTCAGATCAGGGTCAGATCAGGTTCACTACAATAACCTTATGATCGTTTTTCTTTATACTGACTTGTGTAATTCTGATCATTTCAAAGTCACGTTTTCTGTAATGACACACAAACCTCGTTTTCAAATCATACGTTTTTGTTCTTTTCAGACTGAAGCACCTTCAAAGTCTGTGGTACGACTGTATAAGAGACCCACGCCTCAGGAGATGTGCTTTCAGCGTATGCAGCTCGCTCAGCAGCAAGCTGCTCAGCTTTCCGCTTCAGTCCAAGCTGCCCCGAAGAGCTCCAGCCTTGGCGTTTCTGGAGAAAAAAAGAGGATAGCTCACCGGCCCAACCCACAGGCTGCACCATCTAAGACAAGTATGAGTCCCTCTCCGCTCCAGCTAAACTGCTACTTACTTTTAGAGACTGAAGTCTCATGAACGTGTGTTTGATTAGGTCCTGCACACGATAAACCAGCTACCAGTCGAGTTTTATCCCCCAGTCAGAGCCTTCAGGGTGTCAAGACCCAAACCTCAGCTGGGATTCTGTCCAAGACCTCATCTACTGTCACACAGAAGAGGGTGGCTCACACACCCACCTTGAAGGTATTCAAAACGTCAGTTTGTAAAATTATCTAGTCTCTTGTATTTTTTTATTATTTTATTTTACAGCCCTATACAAATTGCTTACATTGCATGGTGGTGCTTTTTGTGTTAGAAACTTGCTTAAATTTAGCATAAAATGCTTTAAAATGCTAATGTGAATTAATGGCTTGCTTTTCAGCTCAAAAAATATCCAGCTGATTTTAATAAGGATGACTTGGATTGTTTTACTGTCTCTTTTATTCTACGTGTACGGCTGTATTGTAATCCTATTTTAAATTAGTGTACTTTGAACAAAAACGGGCTTAAGAAGTTTATAATTGGTCTTTCTCAAAGACTGATTAACATCTATTACAGTACATATCTAAATATATTGACTTATAATTCGTCAAAGATTTTGACATTAGCACAGACAGATTATTTTGGATGTAAGGTAAACACAGCAAGGCGCTGGAAAAGCTTGAAAATCACTACGAAAATGGGTTGGAAGGTGCTTTGTTTTGACTTTGGGGAAGCTATGAGGTCAAAGGTCAAATTAATTTTAAGAGTGTGTTTCTTAACTCTTTTCATCTCAACATGCTGTACAGACACTGCAGTATATAGAAATAAGATAAAACACAATAAATACAATCAATATGGGCAAAAACAAAAATCAGACGCAATGAGTACAAATACAATACAGTAGTCCTTCTTTTATTGTGGGTGTTAGGTTCAAGGCTTTGTCCTTCATAATAAAAGTGCGAGATGGAATCCTTTTCCAGAACAGGCCCGTTTCGTCCACGTTAAAAACTTGTTTAGATCTGTAGACCCCCCTCGGTGATCAGATCTTTGAACGTCGTGTTAACAGACTCCCCCGCTCCTGCTGTATCAGCGGGCGCAGCCTCTCCGTGCAGAGAAACACTTTTTAATTCAAATCGCTTTTGAAATTTGTCAAACCATCCCGTTCCACTTTTTCTTTAATCGTCAGCATCTTCCGCTGGCGTTTCGGTTCGCCGCCAGAAGCGTTTGAATGCACAGCCATAAGAAGTCCAGTTGAAAAAGACTTCGCATGCATGATTAGTAGACTTAGTAAGCATGATTTACAATTTCTTGCCAATCTTGTGTTTGTAAAGTTGAACTTTCTTTAAAAAACTTTTCCATGTGACATGAATTAAATTTTTCGTTTGAAAGGCCGGTTCAGCAGTCATGACTTCGCTTTGCAAAAATACTGTTCGGCAGAAAACAGCAGCCAGAGGCACTACACTACAGCACAACATTGATTTGAGGGAAATGTAGTCCGTCTGAGTGGCGATTAGTGTATTTTTCAGCCTATAAGTTGCACTTTTTTACATAATTTACATGCCTTGCGACTTATGGGTCGAAGCGACATATTTATGGATTTTGTCCCATATTTATAAACTAATTTTTAGCTGAGATATGACCGTTTTCATTCATTCTGATGTGAAAAAACATCTAGCATTACCACTTTCAGCCACTTGATAGCAGCAGAGTAGTAGGTGTATGGCATGTCGTTGTATCATGTAATTTAAACGTGGCTATAATTACAAATTGGAAAAAGTTCAAGACAAAAACAACTGGACGTTATTTATTATACTTTATACTTTATTGTTTTGAACTTTTTTGAATTTACCATGTCCTAGATGACTGAAAATCTTCACCAGCTATTAATGACACAATCGGCTTGCCATATCGCCCCCACCTTCGTTCTGCTCGCTGCTTGGAGCAAGTCAAATTAGCTGCACCGCCCCGGCGAAATGCAGCTACTTTGACCATCAAATTGCATTTATTAAGTAAAAGTTCAACTGAGACACAGCTTTGCTCTAAATTTGAGAAAATACGGTACAGTGAAGGCTGAGTGAAAGAAAACTACAAAATGGTGGCGCTTGTCTGAATTATTATTATTATTATTTTTGTCATTAACTTTTTCACAACCATGAGTACAGTGATATTACTGTACAGTCCACAATTGTGTGTCTTGCACATTAATTTTTTTTGGACTGTACATGCACAAACCGCGATAGAGCGAGTGTGCGCTAGTCGAACCGTGAAGTAGCGAGGGACTACTGTAGCTAAAAAAAGTTACATGTGCGTATACACGCATACAAACAAATGGGTCTTATTAGAGTCCTGTGTACATCTTTGGTGGTTATTTGCAGAGTTCTTGTCCAGTGAGGACCGTTTGTCTTTTCTGTTTACGTTTTCAGAGCACCTCGATGAAGCGTCCGGTCATCCCTATTGAGTTCGGAGCGAAAGTTCCCACGAACGTCCGCCAGCGCTACCTCAACACTTTCATAGACGAGTGTATCAAATTTTGTGCCTCGGAGGAAGCTGCCTTCCACATGGTAGGAGGGACGTGATTTCCAACAGCTTGCCGTCAGAGCGGGTTTACAAGATCTGGGTTCTGTTTGCCTAAGTTCCTGTTTAGAAACAAAATGTCCGTTTATTCCCGCAAATGTTGAGTTTCCACCGCCCTTATAATTGTATTCTGATAAGAGTTTCAGTTTTCAGTGCCAGAAATGGAGGCTTCCACAATAATAGGTGTGTAATTCTTGTTTCAGGCCCTTGACGAGGAGAAGCTGGTGTATGAGCGCAGCAGCAGCAAGAGCATCTACCTCAACGTAGCCGTCAACACGCTGAAGAAGCTCCGAGGCAAAAGCTGCCCTTCTCCTTCGCCTTCAAACAGTCCGTACCCTCAGTTCGTGCACAGCAGAAATAATGCACTTTTTACACTGTTACACTTCAGAACAGAAATAACATTTACTTCACTTCCATCTAAACTACACAAAGCTAAAAACTGCATCAAATGTCCCACATTTGCTAAACTCAGTGTGAGTTCGTTATGATACAGTATTTCCTAAATCTACAGATCTGGTAAATTAGAGTGAACAGACGTCTGTTTTTTTGTTTGTTTTCTGTAGAAGAAGCTACAGGAGCTAAAAGGAAGCCCCAGTCCCACGAGGAGGTCCTGGGCGGTCGTCTTGCAGCGACGACCAGCTTCACTGTCAACAGGTCTGGTAAACAGCAGGAGGAGAGGCTCGTTGGTAAGAACCGTTCAGGATCACATGAACGCTTGTGCTACTTTCTTTTCTTTCTCAGAAAGTGGTTTTTGTCTGTTACTAAATAAAATCTAATGAAATCCCAAAACACGAGAAACTAAAAGAGGAAAAATAAAGAATCGTTGTGTGAAGTACAGACTTGTGACTTTTTTCAAACAGCAATGTGACAAACTTCAGTTCCTGTTTACTGTCAGCCTGGGACCTGACATCAGAGATCACTTCAGTTAAAAACAACAAAACAGATTAGTTTGACCACATCACTGTAAATTATCAGTGAAAATCTCTTGAAGTTGTTTATCACTTTTAATTAGCAGAGGTTTTTTTTAATACAGTACCTATTTAAAGGCTCCACACAATTTTTTTTTAACAATTGCCCGAAGCCGAAAGGCTACAGCCCATGCTACCGAGTTACCAGCAAGTTTTACATAGCAGATTTTTTTTTTTCTTGAAAGTCCAAGTCTATTTTAGTGTTTGCAATTCACAAATTAAAAAACAAATCCAGCTGTACTCCTACAGAGGTACAGAAACAACCTTCAGTAGGGTTTGAGACGGGTTCTTAGAAGCTGGTGAAGTCTCTTGAGACTGGTCTAACAAAGTTAAGTCAGGTCCTCTGGATGGATTAAAAAAACAAACTTGTTGAAACGTTTCATCTTTGATCCAAAAGACTTTGTCAGAGGAACTGCAATAAGCTCAGTCTTATAAGCAGCACCTTCTCATAGTGGATCAACCAGTTTGCTGTTGACATCCAAAACTAGCTGTTCACATGATAAAGGAGGACCATGCAGTTACACTTGAATTTCCCATCCGTGGGACAATAAAGGCTGTTTCTATTCTATTCTATTCTATTCTATTCTATTCTATTCTATTCTATTCTATTCTATTCTATCAGCCTAACGACCGATAGTTAGTGCTCTGATTGCCACTCGCTATTCACAGAGGGCTGAGTGACACTAGCAATAACAGCATTGTAAGTTTGGGACTGGGACAGTTGAACCCGGAGGCTCCACCTCTGTTTAACGATGGACGGTTTCTTTTCTCAAAGATGGCCTCCTTTACTCCTTTCTCAAACCATCGTTCCTCTCTGTCCAGGATGTGAACATCTTCATCCCTGAACGAGTGACCGCTGGCCTGGAGATGAGTGTAGACCGCAGAGTCCTGGCCTGATGATGTTTCTCTTCTGTGCTGGGCCATCCTTTTGGCTAGTGTTTAGTTTCCTCGATGTAAGACTGATCACAGCCCTCCTGGCACTGAACAGCATACACAATATTACTCCGTTTGTGCCGGGGTTTAAAAGCCACTGGGACGTCGTGTTTAGAAAATAAACGTCTCAGTTTCTCAGAAACTCCTGCAACATGCAGAACGACCACTGGTTTAAGTCTGGGTTCCTCCTTTTCACCTGATGGCTGACTGGAGTTCTGTTTGGATTCCAGCTGGAGGACCTGATTTAACCTTGTTAGATCTTGAGACTGGTATAATGTTGAGTTTTATTTGAACACCCCTTGCATCACAGGTAGGCAGTCTGAGAGCGCCCACAATCATTTCCAGATATTTGTGAAACTCCCTGCGATTCTGGCTTTAGTAGGATAGTGGTGAGCCACTTCTCCTCGTGTAAAAATATTTCTTCTTGTACATGCTGCTTAATGGTTTCTCCTCTTTAGAACCCTTTAACTTATAATATGTTGTTTTAAAAGCTTTTTGAATATTTTAGCTAAGACGCCGAAACGCTCAACTTAGAAGATATAAATTATGACGTCTGTGTTTACATCTGATTAAATGTTCAGCATGGGTTTTATTTCAGTACTAGTCATTTCAATGTTTGCCTTCTTGTAGGAGCCGTCCTTTACAGGAAGCTGAAGGCGTACTTGATGTCAGAGGAGGAGCTCCAGGAGCACGGATACCCACGGCTAAACCCCGAGGCCTCCGGGAAGGCTGTCATTCACAACCTGCCAGAGAAAAAGATTATCTTGGACCGTGAGCAACTTCTCATTTTGACACAATGCAATTTATGCCAGATCTACATTATTCGCCTGTTATTTTAAATTCAAGCTAAAATATGTTTATATTTTTCAGCCTTTAACAAAATATGCTGTCGCTGTGGCGCAGAGTATAAGGTCAACGTAAAAGGCAGCTGTGTGCGTAAAGAGGAGTGTAGCTATCACTGGGGGCGTTTACGCAGACATAAAGGTAAGTGTTCAGTCAACAGAGCGGAGTTATGAACGGGAGCGCCTGGGAGTTGTGTTTTTATTTCTTTCTGTCCGCCGCTCAGTTGCTGGAGGCTGGGAGACGACATACAGCTGCTGCTCCACAACTGTAGGAGCTCCAGGATGCCAACTCGCAAAGGTAGCAGAAAATGAAACCCCTCAATCTGTTGAAGTTGAGCTAAAGTCAGAGAGTCGCTATTTTAAGATGCTGGCTGAAAAAAAAAAAATCAAATTTAAAACAATTTTGGCTTTTAATGGACAGACGTCACCAACCAAACTGCTGAAACAAGAAGGTATTTTGAGTTCTCTTACATTTGGGTCGTTCATATAAAACAGAAAATGTACAAAGTTAAATTGGGTCCTCTGGTTAGGGATTCATCAGTCTAACAGCCTCAGGGCAGAAACTGTTCTACAAGTTTTTTAAATTAAAATTTTTTTTTAATCCGTCCAGAGGACCTATCTTAACTTTGTTAGATTTTTCTACCTGGATTATTGAGCATGCATCAGAATATAAAACAGGACTTTTAATTAGTTTAGAAAAAAGTCAAAGAAAATTTGAAACTTCACAAATAGTTGTTAAATAAGCCAAATATAGACAAAGAGTATTTTTACTCAGTTTACTCTTTCATTACTTTGTTAGCTCATACTTATTTATTTTTATTTTTTTTACATATATTAGTATACATGTTAAAAAAAACAAAGAGGAGATATATGGATGCAGTTTGAGAGGACATGAAGGTAGTTGGAGTTATTTACAGAGTGAGGTGGAGGAGGATGACTCGCTGTGGAGACCCCTGAAGAGGGAAAAGCCGAAAGAATAATAATAATAATAATATATTAGTATACATTAATGTAGTTGCACACCAAGTTCAAGTCAAGTTTATTGTCATTCACATCACATGTGGTACATGAGGTGGAATGAAATTGTGTACTCAAGGTCCCAGTTACACCCAAAAATAGCAAAAATATAAAGTATAAAAAGAAACGGTATATAAGGATCTAAGATATATATTAATATATACGCTAAACACCAGTGAATGCTACAGTACTTTTCTCTATTTCATACTGATTATCCCAGCTTTTATTTATTTTACACCATTTATACTTTTCAACATGCTTCAAAAAACAAAACTCGCAAAGAAAGCAAAAGAAAATATAAAAGTTGTTAATAAGAACTGATTGAAACTAGCAATCATCGTTTAATTTATGATGCAAGCAATTAAAGCAAAAAGCATGTTAAACTCGCACGATGATGAAATGATTAGAGTACATGAGGAAAAATGTCTGGTATTTCCACAGCAACACGTTCAGGACGCCCGAAAAGAGTCGCTCGATGGTTTCGTGTCGACGTTCAGCAAACCGCTTCCCCCAGACGGAAACGGAGGAGTGTTTGCTTTGGACTGTGAGATGGTGAGTCAGATATGACACGGTAAAGATCTGACATTAATCTGTTCGTCTCGTATGTGACTTCACCTTAGAATCGAGTTATTAAAGTCACGTGATTCTTTTTATCTGAACGTTCTTCAGTGCTACACAAAGCAGGGTCTGGAGCTGACGAGAGTCACCGTCATCGACTCCGCGATGAAAGTCATCTACGACACGTTCGTCAAGCCTGAGAGCAAAGTGGTCGACTACAACACGCGGTGAGTTGGCGGCCGTCCTCGGCGACAGCCGGTTTGCGGCTCCGTTTCAAATCTGACGCTCCTGTTCGTGTGTCAGATTTTCAGGCGTCACGGAGGAAGACCTGGAGAGCGTCACCATCACTCTGAGAGATGTTCAGGCTGTGCTGCTCTGCATGTTCAGGGCCGAGTCCATCCTCATCGGACACAGCCTGGAGAGCGACCTCCTCGCTCTGAAGGTGAGCTTCTTCTTCATCAACTCGACCATCAAGTAGGCCGGTCGCGATCAACAATAAATCAATTAATCGCATGATTAATGAAAATTATCAACCTCATTTTCTTTTATCGGCTTTATCGTTTCTTCGTGTCTCTTTCTACTGAAGACGCTGGATGACAAAAGTCTCAACTCCTGTGCTCTTCGCTGACCCTCTTTTCTCTTTAAAATCTGTTTTAACGATCCAAAATCGTGTTTTTGGATCGTTAAAAGCAGCTAAGCTGAGAAGCTAAGCTATGAGCTAAGCTAACAGGCCGACCTTGGAGAAAAAAAACCTACATCTTGTCGAAGATTCAAAATTCATGGTTGAAACCCGTGCCTTTGTGTAAAAAGTTTTTTCTCTGCAAAAAGAAGCTGAGAACTTGTTTACTGATTTTTTTGTTATTAAAAGCTTTGTGTGAAAAATGCTATGCTCAAACCACACCGAGCGTCTGCCATTTTGAGAACCGAAAAACAGGAACGAGAGACAGCTCATGTCACGTCAAGGGGCCTCCCTCCCATTTTTCTTAGAGACGCTGCTCGCTCCCTCACTATCCATCCTTCAGTTCAAACAGTCTTATACTGCCATCCAGTGGTTAAAAAAAGTACTACAACAAAGCAAATTATACAACATTTCTCCTTATATTTGACAATAATTACTAATTATTGTCAAATTTCAAACAATATTATCGTTTATCACAATAATTTCTGAGACAATTAATCGCCCAGCAAAATGTTTTTATCGTGACAGGCCTAGCATCAAGCTAAATTCTCACTAGAGACAGAACCAGAAGCTGAAGCCGCCGAGGAAAAGCTCCATCTAGTACAGGCTGCAGTACAATTTTTAATTCCTGCCTCTCCATGTAAACATCTTCCTGACGAAAAAATAAAAATGCACTTCAGGGAGATTTATTTAATTTTTCAGGTGATGATTTTTCCTGATTCATGTACCGGTAGTCCTTACTTTGCTGTTTTATGTTCAAAAGGGAATGTTTTTAATATGTTTATTTATTTGAAGCTTTAAAAAGTTTTATGTTACATAATGATAAAAAAGGCAGCTCTCAAAAAAAATTTTTACCTTTAATTTTGGACAATAGAAGTAAATGGAAATGTATGAAAATTAAATGTTTTATTTCATCTTATTCTGTCGTTCATGTCACAAAAAAATAATAATTTCCTGCTTAAAAGATTATTATCAAAAAAGGATGAAAATATCTGCTTTAATAAATAGTCACAAATAACATTTTATTAAAAGATTTTTTTGTCAAGTTTGGTAAAAGTTTTGCGATCCAGAAATTTGTGTTCAACTTTGTCCCATCTTTATTTCTATGATGGACAAAAAATGTTCCTGAGAGTTAAACTCTAAAACTGTTGTTGTGCTTTATAAACATTAATTTGAGTGGGAAACTGACGCAGTTTGTCTTGGCTGCAGCTCATCCACAGTTCAGTCGTAGACACATCCGTCGTGTTTCCTCACCGCCTTGGTTTGCCCTACAAACGTGCCTTGAAGAACCTAATGGCCGATTACCTCAAACGCATCATCCAGGACAACGGTGAGAAAGACTGGCGCACAAACAGCTGTTGTGTTTTCACAACTTTATGGCAAGAATTGTTGTAATAATTGTTCTCGCCCCGTGTTTGTTAAATTGTTTAACAAGTGAAGTTCTGCAGTCATTCTGAAGTTTAACATAATTTTAACAGATGTCTGTGCATATTTCAAATAACTCTACTCTGATAAATTGAGAGAAAACTTCCTTATTTTATTTGATGTGCAAAGTTTTTCCTCTGAGCTATGAAGTTAAACTGGTTGGTGATGGTATGGTTGTAAAATCCAGGTCAAACTGTGGAAGTGTGTGGGCGCCAGGGGAATCTACAGATGAACACACCTTCAGAGTGCACCAATGAGAAAGTAGTACTGAAAACAACGAGTGGAGCTGCTCCCCAAACACAGCTCCCATTGAACAGGTTTATTAAGTGACCTCAGGTCTCCACCCTCCCTAAAGTAACAAACTAAATGCAGTGTCGCCATCATAATTAACTCTTATGACAAACATCTGTTTTTAAAAAAAATTAACAGGAACCTATTGAAAATCATCTAGAAGTTTTAATGCAACAAAATACATAAAAACTGCAAAACAAAAACCAAAGCACCAAATAAACAATACAGTATAGTGTATACTGCACTACTACAATATGCCTGTAATAATCAAAGAATCAGATTATAAATAACTGTCGTAAGCACTACTTATAGAGGAGCACAGTGTCCATTTATATGACAAGAAATTGTATAACCACGTTACTAAAGCAAAATAATCGAGAAACCTGAAGGAGATAAACACAAAATCTAGATCAAAATGAATGAGACTACACCGCGGAAAAAGGTCAAATATCAAGCTCATGGAGACCGTTTGAAGCTAAACTATTCAGTGTATACATCCCTAATAAATACAATAACGAGTAGTCTTTGAATTGCCCCCTTAGATTCCAAAGGAAGCCTGTGGATCTTAATAATTAATCTTATTTATTTACCTGCACTGTGCTCGAGTCACCAGCAGGTGTCGCTGTCTTTCGATTTTGTACAATTTACAGAAAAACTTGATGACATCAGACTGATCTGCACTTTTGACCAGAAATACTGAAACCTACTCATTGAAGAAATATTATTCACATTATAAAATATTTTAATTGTGCTTGTGATTGTTGGAAACTTAATTTACACTCACGATTTCATCCTTTCAGCACTTTCTCTTCTGGGTTAATATCACTCTCTTGTTTTTTTTGTTTTTTTTTAATATATGACCAACGGTTTTTAAAATAGAGTGATGTCATTCCTGGTGTTTAAATATGATCTCAAAGGCGATTTGGAGGTTAAGTTGCATTGTAATGTGTGAGGTGGTGGGTGTGCGCATACATGCAGTAAGAAGAATGTTTATTTTATTTTCATTATAAATTCTGATGTAGATGTTTCAGCTGACATGTTGCGTTGTGTTTCCAGTGGAGGGCCACGACTCGAGCGAAGACGCGTCCGCCTGCATGGAGCTGATGCTCTGGAAGATCAAGGAGGATACAAAGGTCAAAAGATGACCCACAACCCCTCCCTCTGCGCGTTGATCAGTTTAACTTCCTGTCTTCATGCGAGTCGCAGACAAACGCAGGAGTTCAGGAGGCGAACGCGACGCGGGGTTTAGAGGGCTGTCGACGTCGTTACACTGTGTCCATAAAGAGTCGCCATCACCGTCAAAGCAATAGGAAACAAAATGAACATGACTTTCATTAACTTGTTGATACTTTAGTTTTTGTTAGATTAAAACTATTTTGTTTATTTGAGCAGTGTTTTTTAAGGCCTCGGATTTGTTCGTAAACAAAACGTTTGTATGGAAGGACTTGAAAAGCAGGGGCATTGTCGCCGAGCAGATGCATTTAAATTTATATAGAACTGCGCCTCCAGTCTGACTTGCACTATAATAAATTGCTCTCGTTGTACAGGGCCCAAATTTGAGTACCTCATGTGTTGTGATACATTCACTTCTAATGAAAAAACTAGCTACTACTACCTACTTACACTTAAGTGCATTGATGTTTTAGTCTGTTGCTTGTAAATGCACTTCTTTTGTTTATTTTTTCACTTGCACATATTCTCTTGTGGCAGTTCCTATTATTATTATTTTAGGCCTTCAGCAGAAATGCACAAGCCTTTGCTGCTAGTATGGCAGTGTACTTGATAGTTAGGCAGGATGAACATTACAACCACTGTCTCTGTCATGTGAAGTGCATGAAGTCAAAACACAGGAATATATGTGATTGCAAATATATTTTTCCATAAAAAGTCAAAATTGGTGTTAAATTCAATCTGGATTACTAACTAACACAGTTATCAGCTATAATCTGTTTATGTTAATGGTGACTGAAAATCTGCCACAAAGCTGTAAATGAGCTGCAACCGTTTCCCTTGTACAGTATTTGTTAATTATTTGGTTTATCTTTTTTATTAAAAAGTAATACTTTATGGAAAAAACGTTGCTATGTTTTTAATTTATAACACTCCACACGTCAGTGTTTAGTGGGAAAATACAACAAAATGCATTGTACATTTTTGTGTTAATTTACTTCTTGAACTCTGGGAAATTTCACAATAAAATATACTTTCACTAACGCTTTTATTTCCACTCCCTCACGACTGGTTTTAGCAACACGTCTACATCCTCTTGTTTATGCAGCCAGTCGTGCTGCATCTGGCGGAGTGAATTTTTTTTTTAACAATTTTCTAATACTATTCCATGTTGAGGATTCTTGATAAATGTGAATGTTCCCCTTTTAATATTTACTTAAAAAGCAGAACTCCAAGATGCCAGTAATGCCTTATTTCATAAAACAAAGTTCTATATCTGCTCACACAGCCTTGAAGTAAAATGTGTAAAATATGCATCAAATCATGACTTGAACGGGGAATAGTGTATTATGATATTATTCCCAAGAGGAAATTAAGTGTTGTCGTAGCGCATCCTGGTTTTATTCAAGAGTTGTTATAGATGCTGGTAGCTGTGGGCAGGAAGGATCTCCTGCAGCAAATCCGAAGAATCTGGCCACAGATACCAATCAATCCACCCGGATCCAGCTTGCTGTCAGATCCAGCGGCACTCTCGATCCTCCTGAGCAGCAGGAATGCCCGAATGCCAGGCAGAATTCCTCCCTGAACAATGGTCACTCCTCCCAGCACGGACAGACAGCTGAAGGTGCCGGGGGATGATCCCGGTCCTCCCATTGTCACGAGTCAAGTTTCCCACCAGCTCCAGGATCTCGGCTGTCAGGTACTCGAGCACCGCCGCCAGGTTGATGGTAATTCATCCGCAGCACCTCCTTTTCAACTCATTTAGGATTTGGGGCTGTAGTTGTGGTATTTGAGCTTTCGAGAGGTTAATCAGCTGCTCCTGATTGTTAAAAAAAAAACCTTGTTGCCATGGTTACGCATCATAACAAATGCCCAAAAGTAAAAAGGTTTCAGTAAAAATCCATCCAGCTGCACAGCGTCTGACACCAGAGGAACTAATCATCTGAAAAAAGTGATTTACATCTAGAAAAAGAGGAATTAAAGTTCAAAAGCAATAACTCAGAATGAAAGTAACAGAGCTAATCCAACATGCAGCCACCCCGATCAGCACAATTCTACCAGAACTATTAATTGACAGTGGTCACACTTTTGAAATGTCTGTAAAAATCCCAAACCTTTGCAAACAAAGTATTTTTTACTCCCACCGCTCCTTTTGGTACATAAACACACCAAAACATAATTATTGTCTTCTTTCATCCAGTGTGGCTCTCACTAGAGCCACAGCCAAAGTGGTTTTGTACCTGGATGATTGAGCATGAACTTTGATGTCTTGAACTGCTTTGGCTGTGGCTGCCTACCTGGGAGGAGTCGACGGGGGACAGGACAGCCCCCAGAAACCATCTTATCACCAGCAAACTAGTTGGTCCACTAAAGGTGTGTACTGCTTAGTGGGGAAAACAGTTTACTTAGGACTCCTCAGACTGATGAAGCCCTCCGGATAGAGGGCGAAACGTCTTTCCACAAAAAAGAAACTGTCCAGATGACCTGATTGACCATTATTAGATTATCAAGGACGTTTCTTGTCCTAATTATGGACTTTTCAATCTCCTATCATCTGGAAGGCGTTACACAAACCTCTGCTCCCGCACCATCAGACTCAGAAAGAGCTTTTTTCCCGAGGCTGTCACATTATTGAACTCATCACAGTCACTTTAATAACATAACTTTAAATACACGTGGTACTTTGTTCTTAATGTTGCAATGTTCATCATATTTGTATATTTGCACAGTCTAATGCTGCACTATTCATACTTGCATTGTATATATTACATTGTTTTTTGCTGTCATAATACTGCATATTTCACTTCATTCACTCTGTATATACTGGGTATAATACATACATCTATACACATATATATGCATATTCTCATCCAACATTTATACTGTATATAATACCTCTACTGACCTCGATTGTACATAATGTTCACATTTGAAAGCATTATTCTCCATACTCATTTCCTGCACTCTATCTGTAAATAATTGTTAATAGAACTGTACTGTACACTTCTGGTTAGATGCTAACTGCATTTCATTGGCTCTGTACCTCTACTCTGCACAATGACAATAAAGTTGAATCTAATCTAATCTTTGTTGCTTCTTTGAGTTCAGATCTGAACTCCGCTTCCAGTTTTGCTGCACAAATAGTTTCTGACAGTGCGGCAGCTGCCTCTTGCGGCCTGCTCGTCCCTTTAACAGCAGGTGCAGCCGGTGTAAATTCTCCCTTCCTCAGCAGATGTGTAAATTGGGGGGGAAAGAGAAAGAAACAGGAGAGAAATGCTAAACGGGGAGGCCCATCTTTTCTTTCAGTGCATTAAGCTGCTCCCGTCACGTCAGTATGCGTTTCCCCAGGCCGGGCCACAGACCCCAGGTATTAAAAGAGCCAGTTAGCTGGGATCAATACCTACACAATGTTGCAGTGACAGGGAGGGGGGCTTCCTAGTGTTTGCTGAGTGTTCCACAGATTTTGAACATGTGGAGCAAAGCAGCTTAGAGGGGTCGTCTTCATTATCAAATTCAATCAGAGTCTCTCTGTCCCTCTCTCCAGGATCACCTTTAACAAGTGGGGGCTCCTGAATGACCTCATGCTAAGAGATGAAGAGTCGCTGTGAGAGCCGCCGCAAGCAAACACTTTACAGATAAACCTGAAACTTTTAACCTACAAAATAACCTTTTTTTTTTTCTTTTGGAAAAAAGCAAGGTTATTTTGAAATTTGCAGCAGCAGCACATCTTTAAAAAGTTGGATCGTGGGCAGCAGATGTGCATAAAAGTAAGTGGTGTAAGAATAAGAAAACTGGTAGCGACAAAAACAACTTAAAGAGGCTGAAACTTTCAGGAGGAAAGATGGACAGAGGTCTGTGAAATGTGCATCTAAAAGTAGTGAAACAATTTTAATATTCCAATACAATGCGATGTAGCAATATTCAAGGATAATGTAAGATGATGAATATCACATCTAAAGTTCATAATTAGGGATACACAATATTGGATTTTTGGCCGATATCCGATATGCCAATATGCTAAAACTTATTTGGCCGATAACCGATGCCGATACCGATATTTTATCTACGTTCCTTTGACAGAACATAGTCCTCTTATTTAGGCTTACATGTATATGCTACAAAAATTGTGCAACAGCTGTAAGAGCTGGTGACATATATTCAGTAACAGCCTTATGATATGCATATCACTTTGACTTATATTAAATGAAAAGTGTTAAATGTTATTTATTAGCATTAGTCACGTGTGATGCTGTCTCACTTGTGGAGGCTTGTTCCAGGTTCCTAGCTGCAGTGTGGGATCCTCTGCACTCTTGTGCATGAAGGACAGCGTTTTTAAGTTCAAAGTTTTTCTCTATCCATTGTGCCGTAAGACTAATCATGCTAACGGGGCTAACACGACGTCCGAATGTCTGTGGTAAAACTCAGCCAACAAGTCGTGCTACCGGCTTTTAGCTTCTCATTGACGTAGAAAATAATGGCTTGTAACTCGGGTAACGTTACGTTGGAAAAATATCTCTGACTGGGGACGATGTAGCGAGGCTCAACGTAGTCCATAAATTTTCGGAATCTGACATCCTCACCCTCGAAAAATAAAACTTCCACACGGCCAGCATTTTGAATTTTCCTCTCCGCCGGGAGATCAGGTAAGCGCACGTGACATCATCGCATTATGCTGCTGCTGCAACGTCATCACGTTGTGCTGCCGCTGCAGGCAAAAACAGCGCCTTTGATTTCGGCAAGTTATTTTAATGGAATGGCCTATGTCCGATATTGAACTTTAATGCTACTATCAGCCGATGCCGATACCATGCCGATACTATTGTGCATCCCTATTCATAATATCAAAATAATTTCTTGAATTTGTAGAATTCTCTGAGCTCAAAAGACAAGGCTGAAAGTCAATAAATAAAACATTCCTGACACATCTTTGCACCTCTATGCCGACGATACAATTGTATATTGTCGAGCTAAAACAGTTATAATAATTATAATAATAATAATAACGTCATCACATTGTCATCACTGTATGTTTCCATACATTGGCAAAATTAGTCTCTGCACTTAACCCATCCACAACCAGGTGGTGCAGCGATTGAAAGCGCCCGAGGGGCATTTTGGGGCTAAGTTGCTAAGGTTTTCCAGCTTCTACAGTCTGCATTTGACATTATCCATTCAGACTTGTTCCATCTCAAACTGGTGCTAAATGCTGATAAAACCAAAGGGATGTTGTTTCCAAACAGAAAGCTGGTACCAGCAGTTCTTCCTCCTGTCACTTCCATGCATGCTTAACTGGA